TCAAGTAAAAAATCTTGAGATTTTTAACATTCACTCATTCACACGAAATTTTCATGTATTTTGTTATTGAAAAATCAGTTGAATTCTGGAGTATTCAATGGAATTGCAATTTTCAGATCCACATGATAATGAAAATGATTAAATCATTTGAAAATTCAAACAATAATTTCTCTGAATTTTCAATCCATTGAAAATTCAGTTGGAGGTGATGTTGAATTTCAGCAATGAATTTGAAAATTCTAGATGTCATTGAAATATCGCAGATTATTTTTCCAACCCACATATCGGGCAATATTATTGGCCCATTCGACGTCACGTGGTACAAGCTACAGAGTTTTCTCTATTTTTTACACCCGTTTTATTTAGTGCAAATGTATTATTTCTCTGATTTTTCTTCAATTCCTCATTTTTTAGAATAACAAAAAACGTGTCAAACATTTTTTATCCTATTTTCATAATAAATGATTTTTTCTGGTGAAAAAATTTTCATGCAAAATCCCAATTATGATATTTACGTAGGACCGCTGTCATGTTCAGTAGTTGTCCGAAAATACAACTTTCCGGGGGGACAGTTCCCGTGTCTGAAATGTAGGGGAAGCCTGCTACCACGTGTCCAAGGGAAACTGCTATTATGTACCTGAAACGAATGAATCATCAATTATTTAAACTAATATATTAATCGATAAAATAAAAAACTCATGGTTCAGAATTTCGAGAGCTACTGACAAGAAACCTCTTCACGGAGAGAAATGTTCAGTAAAAATTACGGAACTCACAATTCGCTCACCGATAACGGAATGGACGCAGAAAATTTAAGTGATGGTATCGTAATTTTTCACAGGAGATTCAGATAAACATTACGGAATGTTGTGGAAAAGTTCCGTGACAGTTCCGTAAAATTTCCTACAACCACATTTCGCTCCGGAATTACGGAAAAGATACGTAATTTTTATTGAATATTTTTCTCCGTGTTGATAAATTGCTCCCAATGACTCGATTTCTAAGATGTTCACCGATAAATGTGGAACATTATTAAGTCATTTGAAAATTCAAACAACAATTTCCCTGAATTTTCAATTTTCAATCCAAATTTTCCAGAAAAGTCTATTAGCACAACTTTTATAAAAATCGCGCAACGTTTCTACGTTTTTTTTGCAAATCGAACATGTTCAGTAGATAATATTTCACACAACTTATTCTGTTGAGATATTTTCTACGAAAATTCCTCGGCCGAAATTTTCCAAGATTTTTTGTTTCATTTTTTTATGAAAAGAGAAAGAATTGAGCGAAAAATAGTGGGGGAGGGTGCCCTATGCACTGTTAGAAAATTACTCTTGAAATTTGACCTGATCTGAAATTTTACCTGAAACGAATGAATCATCAATTATTTAAACTAATATATTAATCGATAAAATAAAAAACTCATGGTTCAGAATTTCGAGAGCTACTGACAAGAAACCTCTTCACGGAGAGAAATGTTCAGTAAAAATTACGGAACTCA